TTAGAAAATTATAATTAAAAGTAAATTTTGTTTAAGTAGATACAGCGACTGAAACAAAAAAAAAAAAAAACTGATTATGGATCCATTGTTTACAAAATGCATATTTAGCTGGCTTTATTCAATTGTTGGTTAACAATTTTTTCAGCTTGTTAAACTATAACATTGAATATCTTTTTTATTTTGTTTTCAAATGTTTCTATATTTGTTTTATTGTTTTATACTCTATTTTTGTTGCTTGAAAAAAAATCATAATTTAAATAGGTTTTTGTTTTATTTTATTTAATTCATTAGAAATATTGGTTTGTTTTTTAATTTGTCTGCAATAAAGCAAACATGCATAATAATTGAAGTAATAATTGCTATTTAATTTTTTATTGTTTCTATTAAGCAAACATGCATAATAATTAAAGTAATAATTGCTATTTAATTTTTTATTGTTTTCTATTAACAATGTTCTCCATGTTACACTGCAGAAATATCTGGACTTAAAATGACATAATTTTATCACAAATTATAATTTTTTTCTCTTAAAAATTTCTTTTTCATCATTATAGTGATCTGATTTAACTTAATACTACAGATTGCTCAAAATAATTAAACTATTTACAACTTCCATTCATGTTACATCCCAGCAGGAATATCTTTATTAAATGTTCCATCTTTTGTAAGGTTGTATAAAACATTTTGCATAAAGCATAGATAATAGTTTACATTTTTATTGAATATTTGTATGGTAATGTGATTAACGTTAGCAGTATTAGAGATAACAGTTGTTCCATTTTTAAAGAAAAGAATATATCTGATGTTTTAAAAATATTTTTCTTTTAACAGTTATCTGTTGTTTTCAGAAATACTTATGTTATTAATTTATGTCTGTTGCATAGATATTTATTTAAATATTGTTAGAAATTTTCTTATTGTTTGGTAAAATGTAATATACATTTACAGGTTACTAATTGTTCTTATTAATTTGATGTAAATTAAACATGTATTTTAGAAAATAAAAATATTTTATATCTGATATTGTTGAAATGCATACATCTAATTGTTTTTATGTGGCCTGCCATTTTTGGAGCTGTCCGGTTATTTACTGTTTATTATCTTAAAATGAATCTAAGGAGGCAAGTCATGTTAAGCTGATTTAGATAGTATATAATTGTTATTGATCGTTCCCGTGTAAACAGTTTATCTCAAACTACGCATTTCTTTGATATTTATTATACCGTTTTCTATTGTGTTACTCCATTCATTCATGAACCACTGCCTGCTTCAGATACCATCATTTCTGTGCTATTATATGAAAGAAATTGCGACAGTGTTTAATGTTTATTGTATTATGATTGAGTGAAACTTTTGTAGTAAGGATATTAGTTTCATATTTTGGCTACAAATAAACTTAAATGATCAACAATAATATTATTTTGAGGGATAGGATTGATGTAGATTTGCTAGGAAATATTACTACTCAAAATATATTACATTATTTAAATGAAGAGGATAGGAAAGATCCTAAAAAGAAAAAAGAAAAAGGTAAATATTTTTTCAAATCTTTATTTTTATTTTATTCATTATTTAAAATGGTATTGAACTTAAGTTAACTGAATCTATTGTATTTGTAGATTTTCAGAAAAACAAAAATTTATGTATCAAACTTTTAGTACTTGAGAGATAAAAATTAAAAAAAAGAAGAATTTTTTTTTCATTTTCATTTATTTTGATAATGACAAAAACATGAACAAAATTTTACAGGGAACAAGAACCTTCAAAGTTCTTAAAACTCAATGACAAGAAGCAATATGATCTAAAACATTCCATACTTAGATTTCTTACAAAAATAATTTACTATTTTGGACAAGATGCATTTTCATCTTGAGTCGCTCATTAGGAAATATTTTAATTTTTCCTCATTATTTACCATAAAGTCAATCATCAATAGATTAGATAACAATTGTGGTTATATTTAAAGAGTTTGAAGGAAATTTTATTGGATATAGTTGAAATTAAACCGTAAGACACAGCCACACATTTTTATTTAAAAAATAAATGACAATTATTAAATATTAAACCTTAGTGTAAAAAATATTTATGTATTATTAGATTAATACAGGCTGTACTTCTAAAATGATTTCTATTTGGATTCCTAACATTTTACTGAAAACTAGTTGCAAAAAAAAAAAAAAAAAAATAGCATAATGAAAAAAAATGAGAAGGAATTTGTCGAGGTGCGGTCAATAGATAATAATAATCATAATCTTTTTCTGGACCAAATCCCTTTGGAATAATTAACAAGGGCAGAAATGTGTGCTTTTGAGCCTCAGATATATATAAATGTATTTACAAAGTAAACATAGATATAATAGATAAGAATAAAAATATTTATCTTCTAAACTAGATTGATTATTAAGAAGAAAAAAATAATAAATGAAAGAACAATGAAATGAAAATAATTGAAAATGAACTAATACATATACAATCTATTTACAATTTTAGAGGGACTGGATGGCAAGGAAGGGATTGAATAGGCGGGATTTAAAGTAGGGAGAGTATTTGAGCGACGGATGTCGGGAGGGATGAGTTCCATATTTATTTAAAGTATTTAATGGATGAGGATCGAATAATAAAATATTCATTGAAATCAGCGGTTCGATGGGCCATTATATATATAAATCTGAAGGCCAAGAACGGGTATTGCGGGAGTGGAAAGAGCATTTAAATTGAAGGAGCTTGGAGATGTATGAAAGACAGCGGGTGTGAATTACTTGGAAGAGGAAGAATGCCAGGAAATACTTATGGTGGTAGGAAGGATAAAGCCTCTTCAACTTTTCATGAAACAGGATACAGGGGCGTCCTTTGGGATCCGGAAGATGAATCGTACAAAGCAATTTATCAAACGTTTTAATTTCGCCTCGAGATTTCCAGAGACGCCTCCATATACCGTGCAGCAATAGTCAAAGTAGGGAAATATTAAGGAGGTGACCAGGAGTCAATGGATTTCAAAAGAAAAAAGGTGACGGGGGCTATTTAATGTTTTAGGGTGGAAAAGGTACATCGGGAGATATTGGATACCTGGTTTTTCCAGGTGATCAAAAATTATTCCAAGGATTTTGATGGTGGGATAAAATTTGATGGGATTATCTTGTAGAAACAGGATTGGAATGTTAGGAACAGTTTTGAGGAGGTGATTGGAGCCTATTAGGATTGCCTTGGTCTTTTCCGCATTCAACTTCAGATTGTTAGCTCCTGTCCACTCATATATTCTATTTAAGTATTCTTGAAGCTTTTTTGTGGCGGCTAATAGGTCAGAATGGGGGAAGGACAGGTATATTTGGAAATCGTCAGCATAGATGTGGTATTGAGTTTGATGGATCGTGAGGGTAAGGTCATTAATGTAAATAGCAAATAGAGTAGGAGATAAGGACGAGCCCTGAGGGACACCACAGGAGAGAGGGAGTGTCTTAGAAGGAGGTTGATTAGGGACGACTACATACTGGGATCGATCGGAAAGGAAGGATTTGAACCATCGCAGGACACTGTTGGAAAGAGGAAGATTTTGCAATTTAGTAAGAAGGATGTTATGGTTAGTGTTGCCCAAATGCGAGACCGAGACGAGTCTTGGTCTTGCAAACTCAGTCGTTGTCATGGTCTTGGTCTTGCACAAGATTCTCGCTGTTCCTTATCAGCTTATCACTATAGAAATATTACTTTAATTTTTTAGATAGAAGAAACCTAACTAAGCCCAATTGAAAAATTAGAAGAGTTAAATGCAAAAGTATATTGGTTATACCAATTATTGACATATAGTAACTAAAATTGTTGATTATTAGTAACTATTTTACCTTAATTTTTATTTAAAAAATAGATTTTTTTACCAGTCCTGGTCTTGGTCTTGGAACAGTTAGGCGGCGTTGGTCTTGGTCTTGCAAAGTGCAAGACCAAGACCGATTTTGGGCAACACTAGTTATGGTCAACTGTTTCAAATGCTTTGGAAAAATCTAGAAGGATGAGGATAGTAAGGTTTGGTGTTCAATGGAGTTTTGGCGGTCATGGGTTATGTTAAGGAGGGCAGATTACGTTGAATAGCCAGGTCGAAAGATGGATTGGAATGGACTGATGAGAGAACGATCTTGAAGTTGACTGTTGATTTTGGACAAGGTAATCCAGCGGTTTTGAGAGGTTACAAAGGAGAGAAAGAGGACGGAAGTCGTTCAGTGAGGGAGGGTTAGAAGTTTTATTCAAAAGTCGGACTAGTGTTCTTTTCCAGGAAGAGGGGAATATGGAATTTTGCAATGAAAATTTGTAGATATGGCAAAGTACGGGAATAAGGGTAGTAAGGCTGGATTTTATTAGTTTTATTGGAATATTGCCAGGATCATAATTATTGGTGTGGGATTTTAAGACAGAGGAAAGTACTTCGTCGCAGGACACATGGGCAAAAAGAAATTGCGCAGGATTGAAATTGCGCTAATCAATATCATAAGTAGGAGAAGGATTAGAAGCAAAAGATAAGAAACGATCATTAAGGATCATCTGGAGTCACAGAAAGAGAAATGAGGTTATTGGATTCCAGTAGATTATATATATTACGAAGTATTTTCCATTTTTATTTGAAATCGGGAGCATTAGAAAGCGCATTATGGAAGTAGTTAGATTTAGCAAGTCGGGTTGGGGATTGGGTTCCATTGGGAAGTTGTTTGAAAGACGCATAATCAGCAGGTAAACGGGTTTGCCGGTATTTGCGCCTTGCTGCATTCCTTCTCTTTATCATTTCCTTTATTTGAGGAGTCAGCCAAGGAGCAGAGGGACGATGTAAGATTAAGAAAACTCCGGTTTTCAGAGGAGCATGGATGTCTAGTATGGATTGTAGGTTTGAGGTAAAGGTGTATATGATAGGGTCAATGGAGTCATAGGAAAATATGATTTCCTATTGGACAGAATCAAGGTCAGGTTGAAGTGATACATATGAAAGGAGGTTTAAATTGTCATATGGTACTATTTTGGGAGTAAATTATTTCACGGGTAGTTCGTATGAAATTTGGATCAGGTCGTGTGATGACAGAAAAGGTACGGGGTGTTGAGAGGAGGTAAAGATTTACCATACCAGTTATTGTCACAATGTCGGTTTTTCAGTTAGATTGTTAATGATGATGTGTTAATGATGTTCTGTAAGATTAACTCCAAGCTGTTTGTCTACTGTACAGAAAATACTATATTATTTTATAGTTTAATTATATATATATATATATATATATATATATATATATATATATATATATATATGTATTATATATATATATATATATATTCTTTTTAATATAGATTTTGTTTTCCTTTTAATTTTTATTTATTTTATCCTAAACTTGATGGTTATAGTTCTTTAACTGAGCCATATTATTAAAATAGATCGGCTACTTCATAGCTAATATAAGCATCGAAAAAGAGGTCGTATAAAAACCCAACCAGAGACCAGACAGAAAAGTTAGGGCTATGCCTGGCATAATAAAAAAATGCCAAATCTGAATGTTAGCCATTTATAAAATGTGCAATAAAATTCGCCAGGAATATTGTTCGTTTGTGACATTTTAAGAAGGTGGTAAATATCATCATAAATATCATATTTAACACACATGACTAGGGAAAGGATTCATATTTACATATATACATATGAAAGCCTCATACGCCCTTTTTCGGCAATTAATTTTACATATTTGGGAGATATTATGTATTTAGTGTATACCTACGTATTATCATCGGTATTTGGTCAAAAATTCGTATTTCGTTTACGAATTTTTATTTATGCATAGTATGATAATAATCTGTTAAAAATTTGACTGTTCGGTACAGTACTTTCCTTGCCTAATAATGATAGAGAAATTAAAAATGTGTATTTATAATAAGGGATATATCCATATATTTAAAAAGAGAATAAGGTTTTATTTTATTTTATTTCCTTATAAGCTGCTTCGAGGTCTACTATACAACTGGAGCTGCAAACACCACTCATTTTCGCTCAAATTATTTCTCTTCTGCCAATTTATGGCGTCTCAAGCCCTGATTACAAAAAGCTCAGGTGAGTCATGTATCTATTTAATAATATTTTATGAAATATATTTTATTTAATATTTCGTCCTGATCGAAGAGTAATATTTCAGATATGAATGGAAAAGTTGGAAAATGTTTTACTCAATGGTAGTGATTGCTATTAACATCACACATTGCTCATTTGCTATAAATCGATACGTAAGAGATCGAGGAGTTTCCTATAAATCACTTGGTATCACGTCTTATTATCGTAATATCCTAAAACATTAAAGTATATATTTTCTGAAATCTTATTAATCAATTTAAAGAAAGATCATATTTCAGGTGACATTATGTTTTTCGGTAGCGCATTGCTCGTTTCGATTTCATTCTTGATATTGGTGAGACAGTGGAAAGACTTTATTAGTAAATGGGCTGCCCTACAGAGCGAAATAAACAATTACGAATCATTGACCGTACAGAAAAAAATTAAGCTTCTAACTTATTGCCTGATATTTTCATCTATCTGTGAGTATATATCACTATTTGGATTTAATGGATTAATTTTTTTATATATCAAACCTGCTTAATAATAACGAAAAAAAAAAACGGAAGATTAAAGTGAATGTTGCTAAGAGGCATCATTCTCTTAATTTGGTTTTGATCAGCCAATATACCATGAATTCAGAGATTCAAGTTTTTGAGTATTTTCTTCCATTTTTTTCTTACAAATTTCTTTATTTTATATAATCAATTTATAAGGTCGTTTCATACGAAATGTCAGTTTTTACACAACAGTTATTTAGTAAAACAACTTTATGAAATCTAAATATTTGTATTCAAAATATTTACACTGATTTTCTACACATTTCCCCCAACGTGTAATCAACTTATAGCAATTACTAAACCCACTTTGAATTTTTAAAATAATAAAATCAGACATTTCGTATGAAATGCTTAACCAGTATTGAATAGGAAAAACTAAACTTATAGCTACTGCAATATCTTCTGGTACCATTTTAGACATTGATTGATATTTTTTAAAATCTTAATGCTTTTAAAGAATATAAATTTACGCATACATAAGCAAAAGTAATTGAGGGCATATGGTAAACTTAACACTGAAGCATTTGTAGATATGTACCGAAAATTTCTTTGAATTTGAGCCAACTGAAATGAACCAATTTTGAAATCTCAACGTGTTAAGGAGAATACGTTTGCTTAACTTAATTTTTTTTAAAAATCTTGGTGCTTAATTATTCTGCTATTACTTAGTCTAATTATTATTTTTGCTTTGGATTAGCATAAATTATTATAATTTATTTGTATCATTATTATTTAATCTCAGTATTTATTTCCTTTGGACAATTTACATTTATATTACTTATGTGATGTGATTGGTTAGTTATATATTCCTAATCAGCCTTAAACAAGAGACTTATTGCTTTTGTTTAAGGCAGATAGCATAATTTTCATTTAAGTTTTATCTTCCATCTCTATAACTTTTTAGAATTTAAATAATAAGTTCTAGAAAAACGAATGTACCATTTCTTGAATAATAAATACCTTGAAAGGCATTAAATACTTTTTGAAACTGACATAACAAATAAGAGTAACAGCGATGTCTTTATTTCAGATACCAAGTTATGTAGTAGATGATTACTGACAAAAAAAAAAATAAATAAAAAATAATTCAAATATTTAATTTGTTTATTTATTTTTTTGTCCTAGTTGAGCATATACTTTCCAACACGCAGTTCATGCTGACTGCTGAAGCAAACCCAGATCGCCTGAGGGCGTTTTTGGACAATGCGAATATAACTTCTGTATTTGGCTACAATGTCTGGCTTGCGCTATTTGCCTATTTAGGTAATTTCCTGGTAACACTCATATGGAACTATGCTGACATTTTTCTCACTGCTATTTCGTTGTCGCTGGCGAACATGTTCAAACAGTTCAACAAAGAGCTCAGAATGACAGCCGCAACGGTACCTGAGGTAAGTGTGAAATTAATTTTTGTTATCGTCCATTCCTAAACTATTCATGCCAAAACTATCATATTATCATAACATTTGCAGATTGTCACTGTTACTTATCAAAGTTCAAATATTGTAAAGTTTTTTTTTTAGATATTATTCATGAAGTTTACAACTCTATTAAGACAAACAAGCAGTAAATCAGAACAAAGAAATATAATGACATAAAAGAGGTTATAGAGAAACTATCCATTGGTAGAACTTTAATAAAAGTTCTACATTAGAAGATCCCACGGCTTCAAGGGTTATCAGGGATTGAAGAGGAAGCAAGATTACAAACGAGAGCGTTCGGACGGTTCTGGAGTTTATTATGGAAGGATAGGTATCTGGATTGGCTCAAATCAGCAACAGATGGAGTATTTAGATAGTTTTATTTGTGACAAAGTAAGAAGCATTGAAGATTTTACGAAGGATTTTGGTTTGTTCGGATTGATTACGAGAAGATTCGATGGCTTAGTGAAGTCCCAAAGCTCACTAATCACAAGTACCGAATTGACTTGAATCTTTTGTAATTAATTGGAAGCCTAAAGAGTTTGTCTAGTAAATGCTGAAGTATGAGGATTCCAAGTTAGACATCGAGGTGAAGTCCTAGATATCGGGTCAGTTCTTTAAGGAGAAGTGGAGTATTATTGAATGATACTGCAGGAGGTTATGAGTTTACGATGAATGCTAAATGTGATTTATTGAAATTCATTTTAAACCTCCGGTTTTTACACCATGCTTTAATGTTTTTTATGTGTGATTGAAGAGTTTGAGGTACAACAGACGGGTAAACGATGAAGTTAGAAAATATAGGTATATTAGTTGACTATTACATTTGATACACACCGGTACTAATGCACTTAATAAAAAAGGCCATATTAGTCATGAAGAAGAACAGTGCCCATTTACAAAACTTTCGCAGCTTGGTTGGTTATCTTTGATCAAAGGTGCTCAGAAGGGGGTTTTATGGCGCCATCAAAATTTTTGAGAAGGGGATGATATTTTGACGTTTTTTATTTTTATTTTTGGAGGGCACATTTCAACGGGATTATGAATTTTCGAAATGAAGTGTTTCAGAATAAGAGACAGGGAAAAAACATGGAACAGACCACAGCACGTTTAATTGTGTATGATCTACGATTTTTCTAATTCTTCTTTCCTTAGCTCTGTTTTTAAGAAAAATGAGCAATAAAATATCTTGGGAGAGGTTGGAGGTAGGTTCTTGCGCCATCGACTTTTGGGGGAGGGGATGGACACTTCTGTCTTTGACCATGAAAGGTGACCTCCCATCCAGCACCATTAAACATTTATTTATATAGAAATATAAAGGGAATGAGATTAATTTGTTTTGGGCTCTAGCACTTATTGTACCTAAATTGAAAATGACGCAAATCGATTCCTTTTGAGATTTTACTCTAAACTTTTTCCGATTTATGTATTTCGACATTTTTTTATTCTTTATTAGCTTCAAATTCTTGCATATGCAGGGGTTGTTCTAGTGTTACAACCAAACGTATTCTAACAAGAGTGGGAATCAGAATTAGAAAAATTCTAACCAGAGTGAAAATTGAGAGATAAAAGATTTATTCGATTAATAATAATACAATCTGCCATAGTTAAGGGCATTTTGTATTATGGCTTTATGCTTACATTCATAATTTATATGCAAATTAAAATACAAGTTAAGAACAAAAAATATATACATTAAAATAAAAATACATTGTAACAGTAATTAAAAAAAAAAAAAAAAAAAAAAAAAAAAAAAAAAAAAAAAAAAAAAAAAAAAAAAAAAAAAAAAAACCTGTACCACTACAACCCATGAAGGGTCTAGGGTTCAGTACTATTTAGGGAAAGCACTGTTTCTAGGTCAACGGTTGTGCAAGGAGGTGATTTGACCGAGATGTGATTGAGTGTGCTCAACCGCCAGGTTTTCTCCCTTATTTATTTAATTAAGGGTACCCACTTTATAGAGGCTGGGCGTGCCCAATGAAACAAGAAATAAATTTTCTGCCAAGAGCTGGGATTCGAACCTGGGTCCTGTGCATTGGAAGTTCAGTGCCCTACCACTGAGCTACCCCCCTCCCCTCCCCTCCCCTCTCCTCCCCGCCCCTTTCCCCCCCAAAAAATAATAAGAATTGGAAATTAGAAAGGATATTCATCTCGAGGGTCTGCCACGAAATAAATTGCAACCAGCTCAGGCCAAATTCGAACCGGCTCCGTTAGACTCCAGAATTTTAAAGAGAAGTATGCTCACCATGCTCGGCCACCACGGCCTCAGTGTATGTTTCGTCCTGCCGACGATTTGTTCAGTCTTATTTTTAACTTGAACCTTGCAGTGGTGGATTTGTGGGAGGAGGAAAGGAAATATTCCCTTCACAAAATAATTATTGCAAAAAACAAAAAAAACGACGGTTTAAAACACACCTGCTAGTATAAAAATTTGTGAATAAGTGATTAAATACCAATCATTTATTAGGAATTAATTTCCTCAATTAATTAATTAAAAGTTGCCTCACCTTATGAGAAATCGATCGTTAAAGATACACCAATGAAATTAAATAATTATATTGTCTATGCTTAAGACGATCAATTTTAAATAGTTCGAGATATAATATAGTTAGATAGTCTATTTCTTATGAAAGACAGAATAATATTTCTCCCAAATTATAAGACCCCCTTGATCGTTGCCAACCAAAATCTATCTCATATGCGCCCCTCGAACATTATATAAATCAAAAGATTTTATATCTTCTTCAAACCATGACCCGCTATCGGTAGATGTAGGTAAAAGCTATATACTAAAATTTGAATAGACATAGTAGCTTCTCTGTGATAAAAGTTACAACAGTCGGAAGTTATACAACCTAGCAGAACGAACTCAAAGTTGGGAGACGTTTCCTTTCGACAAGCATCATGAATTACAGATCTCGCTGAGCGCAAATATTTTAAGTGAAAACTTCTATAGGCGTGCTTAGCTTTATTTTGTGGGTATTGAATGCTCGGTTATGTAGCGCCCGTTCGGATAAAGTCGGTTCGAGTCGACTAATTGTTAGATTTGGTTTAAAATATCTCAAAAACTAAAATTAGGACCAACTTAGTGTAACCAAGAGAAATTTTCAGCGTTTGATCCTCTTTGTAATAAACTATAATTCAAAATTGTATTTTGACGTGACGCTGAGTTAGAGTCGAAAAGGGAAAAAGATAGAACCAGAAAAACAAATAATAACGACTAATTGCTTTGTGAATATAGAAAAAAGAATGGTTTATACTCAGTTGTAACTGTCAATATACAACTACTACTTTACTGTCAATATAGAACACACAAAAAAAAAAAAAAAAACGCTGCAAATTATTTCACAATGGTTTATTATTCCCAAACAATTATACATCTTAAGTAACATTACCTTCGGAGTTACAACGAAAAAAAACAAGAGGTGATTCCAATTATTGGACTAAACTATTTTTCTTTAATCATTAGTAATATGCTAAAAAAAATAGTACTAGTTCAGTAACACATTTAAAATTTAAAAAACAACCAAGGATATAACTTTTGGGGTAGAACACATAAAAAAAAAACCGGAGACCATATCTTTGCTCCTAATTGTCCGATTTTAACGATTCTTTTTTTGTTTTTTAGGAAATTTCGTAAACTTTTGAAAAACCATACAATATCTACAAAAAAGTGCGAGTTATTCGGAATTTAATTTTACCAACCCTCGTAACTTTTTTTCCAGCTTCTTTTCGTTGAAGTATGTTATATAGATAAATTTAAAGGCCGTCGAGAAAATGACTTTAGCGAAGTTTCATTGAAATCTGTTCATTCGTTTAGGAGCTACAGTCTATAGCAACGCAGGTTTTTCGGCCGCCATTTTGAAAGTTAAAGGCGGAGAGTAATGTCGATGAAGGAGGATCATCCTCGGGTGACCTCTGATTTTATATCAAAATTTGAAAAAAATCGGTCCAGTAGTTTCGGAGAAAATGCGCGGACGGCGGACGGCGGACGGACAAAAAATATTTTATTCGTTTTTCGAATTCTACGCGTCTTGAAACGTGAAACGTCAAATTTTGGGAGGGGGTTATGTTTTTGAATTTTTTGGTCGATCACAATGTTTCATTATTGAAAATAATAAACCAAAATTCATATTATAAATTCCGCCGTGTTGATGTTTTCACTTCTATCATGTTATCTTAAATACATGAAATAGTTTTTTTTATTCTTTGGCTTTTGAGTGGAGTGATTGAATTTTAGATGTAGATAATACATTTTGATCTGCAAAGCTGAACACTAGCTATCGTCCTTTTTCATAGTCTTAGTCGTCTTCCCACCAAAAAACGGAAGTGGAGTAGTTTCAGTTTTTTGTTTAGAGTATTATGTTTCATTTTAATTCTGAACGTAAATCCAAGTTGTTTAGTGTCCGTCTGAGGGATTTGGTTGTATCTGATAAAAATTGTGGGGCAGGTGTCCAGTCGATTTAACTTGACTTTCAAAAGGAAATGTCGTTTGTATAAATTTATCAAGGGAACTGGTAAAGTAAATGAGGATAGCGTAGGGTCTTGTTTAATCGGTGTACTCGATAATTAGTGTATGTACTCAATACCTCAGAGTTTATGACACAGACGGATCTATGGAGGGAGGAGGGGCTTTCGGGCTGAAGCGCTCTCCCCCCAAAATGATAGCATATCGCCATGTTTTATGGAAAAAAATATTAAAAACTATCTCTTAAAGTATTATTGTTCGAGTAATTAATAGGACTTCATATATATATATATATATATATATATATATATATATATATATATATATATATATATATATATATATATATAAACTTTGGGCCAAAATTAAAGCCTGGATCCGCTAGTACGTAATGAAACAAACTATATTAAGCTATAATTATTATAAGATATTTTAGCTGTGACCGGCCCTGAAGTACCTTTTTTTCCAGAAGGAGCAAGCTAAATTTTATTGCTCCATCTTCTTCTACCGCCCCTCATTAAACGATAGTGTCATTGATTAAATTAAGAAACATTATTACTTGAACAAAAATAATAAAAATTTCTCGAAATTCCTCGCCTTATAAATTCTCCCGATCGGGGGCAATCGTCCGCTTTGCCCTACCCTAAACCCAGCTCTGGGCTTTCGAAGAACATTGGTTAAACTGCTTGGAAATGACAAATAAAATATTACTAAATAAAATTCGTTATGGAAATATTCAAAAATGTTAACATGAGTTGATAAATATAAAAGATTAAATATGGAAAATAATAATAGAGTCGTTTATTACAACAATAATATTTAATTTATTATTTAAATAATATCATGAATAATAATTGCTGTTTTCTAGGATAAAGCAATTTCTTACTGGAGGAAGAAACGAGAACTCTACAATAGCCTATCTCTATTTGCAAAGACAGTCGAAGATAAAATGTCTCGTTTGGTACTCATTTCGTTCGCTGTCAATCTATACTTCATATGTATTCAATTACTTAACAGTATAAAGTAAGTATATATTTTTCATATTTTTATTTGAAATTCACTTATGTATATGTGATATCCGGTTTCTAATATGAAATGTAATAAGTAGCGGAACCCAGGATGCAAAACGTTGATTAATTCTATGAATCTAAACGTTTTCGACTAGTTCACGAAAACAAGCACTACAAAAATAAGTAAATAACCGCGCTAGTTACAATAAACATTCCTAAGTTATCATTCGCTAAACGTTCACATTAATTCAACCACATTGGTCTTGATTATTTAACCTGTCTGCATCAAAAGGCCACTGTTGGTGAAGTGTTCATTCTTGGTACAGTTACTTTAGGCATCAGAAATTTGGGTATTGAGAAAAACTGGTACGTTCTTCCTTCAGTTATTTGAAAGAAAAGCACTCCACAAAATTTATGGGCCTACCTTGGATGGCCAAACTGGACGATGGAGGACGAACAGAGTTTTAAAACTCATATTTTAAGTCGCTAACATTATTAAAAACGTCTAGTTAGGAAGGTTACGATGGTCGTATTCCAAGGCTGTCCCGAAATCATGGACCTCCTAATATTCTTGAGATGGAAAGACACGAGTGGAAGGCCAACATAGGCTGGTTAGATGGCGTCGATGAATATGTACGTTGCAGTTTTGCCTTTAGTACAAAATTTGAAGGTGTAAGCACAAGCCAGAGAAATGATCTATAGTTGCCTAAGAAGTAAATACTTAGGGCGAACAAGTTAGTGTATTTTTAATAAATTATTATTTTCATATTATCTGCGCAAACAATAGAAACAATATGATTTCGTTTGTGTCATCAAGCTTTATTTCTTTCTGTAATACTTTCGTCTCTTAAATATAACAGGATTTTTATATTTTAGACCTTTGACATCGTTCCTTCGAGTAGCTTATTTCTGTGGTTCCTTTGGGCATATACTATTCAGAACATGCTCAGTCTGTTTCGCTGCCACCAGTATCTACGAGCACAGCAAAGGATCACTTCCGATACTCTACTCTGTCCCATCCGAGCAGTTCAACACTGAGGTAGGTTGACGGAGTAAGACAGAAATACTTTATTGAAAGTAATGCTGCCCTACTACATAGGGTTGCTTGATACACAGCATACTGATCAATCCATATGCACATAAATATTATATTACATTTTTATATCTTTATATATATACATATCTTTTTTTCTTTCTCACTTTTCATAACATTAGTCCTATAAAGTATCAACAATAAACCACATCAAGCTATAAACATTTCATAACATATACAATTTCTTTAAAAAAAAATTCAAATGCCAGAAATTCAACACTATATATATCGCACACATATATACCAAAGTAATTCCACTGATATAGATAAAAAGACAAGACAATGCTAACAAAAATTAAATTGAATAAATAAATGAATAAATAATTAATAAAAGACATCCTCAATTACTGTATAAATGATAGTAGATGATCCCCAGGGAGTCCAAAATAAAATTCTCGGCCAATATCGCAAAATCAACACCTAGTTCCTCGAAGAAGCTCCTTGTTCTTTCTGGGATCGTTACGCCAGACCCAACCCAAACCAAAAGGGCTCTCTCCGAAGCTCTCGCGGAATTTTTCTTTTAGGAAAGAGATACATTTGGCGTATATCTTCTTCTTTGCCCTTTCCACTTCACCCGCCTGATGGAGGTCATTGCTCTCAAAGTAGGCAATTGGATCCAAGATCAGCACTGGCTCTCTTGTTCTGGGAAACACGACAATATCCGCATACCTTGTAGAGCCTTCACTGTCGATGCAATATACCTCGTCAAAGCAGGTGAATTATTTTTCTCTAAGGAGCCTCATCATCTCGAACTTGACCATATGGTGCCGGCGTGTTATGAGGAGGGAGTTGTTGGGCATTTTCCCAGCACATGGGCTGGTGTTTCAGATTCTCTGAAGAAGGACCTAACTTCCTTCTACTGGCTCCTGGGATTCCACGTAAGAGTGCGTGGTTGATGTTTAGTTTTAAGGCGTTGTAGCATTTTGACCCCGAAAGCACTTGTTTATGGCATATGCATTTATTGGCTTTCGGGGTTTCTATAAAATGTCGAACTCCAACGCTTTGCCACCTGCAGCTGGCCCGTCTGGAGAGGGTAGGTAAGTCCCGGGAACACGCATTGGTTGACAATTTCATCAAGGTATGAAATCAATAGCTTATATTATTCGATTTGGCAACCATTCACCAGGTTTCAAATCAATGGAAATTACATCGTCGATACCATGTTAAAGTAACAAATGTGAAATCACATTTTTCTATTTCTATTCGTTTATCGGTGCCGACGATATAAATACCAAGTCGAATTAAAAAGTAATGGTTAATTCATTATTCCCATCAGCAGGATGTCTAATGAATCATTTGTCGATGTTTATCCTGGGATTTATTTAAACTTTATATCATGGCACAGATGTTAATCTTGATTCGTTAAGTATCAGCCCATGAAATGACTACCTTTAGTACAACCTTGTGAAAGCAGATCGTGTCATCAAGTCAATAGCTTTGACCTTTGATGACGATTCTATCACGCAAATGGATGAAGCTTTATCAATAATGTTAAATTTAACACTTTTACACATGGATTCTACTCTATTTAATATGGGAATCAAAATGATAACATTATATTTTAAGTAGAAAAATCAAATTTAAAATATGCGGGTGTTGTTTCCGTGTCAGTCGTGCTGACAACGATATATGGTAATAGAAAATGTTATTCTTTAACTGTGAAAAAATAAATTTATTTTCATTTTTTAATTATATAAAAGGCCATTATGAATCTATACATTTTAAGTAGCTTAAAAATGATATGCGTTTCCCGCATTCTAATAGTTCCTCATTAATTACGAATCACATTTAAAGAGTTTTTTATTAATTAAAAATTAATCATTTAAATAATTTTGATCTCATATCTATTTGAAACTTAATTCTTTATCCATTTATGGAACAAGGGCTAGGAGGAGAAGGAAACTTAGAAGTTCCTGACCTAATAATTGGAAATATTAAAATTAAGTAAAAACGTTTCTTTAACATTAAAACATTAAAATAACTATAATTAAAATAATCAAATATAATTAATTTAAATAAAATTAAAATAACATTAAAAAATATATTCTTCTTGTATTATTGTCTTTATTCTAGTTTATCATTTCTTATTGTAGACATATTATTCAAATTATTAAGGATAAATTATTTCCTTGAAGTTTATTATATGTGCCTGCCTGACGATCCGTTTGTACTCCAATTAACGCTAATTAGAAACGAGGAGCAGATGCGGAAACATTAAGTATTATATACAACAAACATTTAGATAATTGATATGCACATTATTTTAGTTAAAAACCTAAAAGGAAAAATCGCAACAAAAGGTTTCGGGATTAGGGGACTCAGAGGTGTGTTTATGGCACAAGTTGTGCCATCAAAATTTTTGAGGGAGGAACTTTTTAATGGGATTTTGAATTATTGAGGGGATTGAATTTTAGATTTTGCACTTACAGGCTTTTGTAGTTCACATTTTGCAGGGTCAAATCAACGACAGCCTTTAGATATAAATAGACATTTAAAGAAACATCGATTCAGGAAACACGACTTGCATGAGAACAATTTATTAATTATTTAATTTCCAAAAGTATTACAAGATGTACTATGATATTAGTTTAGTCATTGATTGTAACAATGATAGGTTATTAATATTTTATAGGTCCAACGCCTCACTAACCAAGTGACTAGCGAGACCCTGGCATTAACCGGTTGTAAATTTTTCACCGTGACTCGCTCTCTGATGTTGACAGTAAGTTCTTACTCATTCCTTTATTTATTAATTTAATATTCGCATTATCACAGTAAAGTTATGTAAGCCATAACTCTTATTTCAGATAGCAGGGACTATAGTCACTTACGAAGTGGTTCTAGTTCAGTTCAGCGGCATGTCTGATGATGGTGGATCATGAGAGAATAATTCGACGTCAGGTGCCTCAACTATACGGATAGATGATAACACCAATCGTATGATGACCCTGATTGAAGATACTTAGATGAGATTAGAAAACTTCAATTTGGAAACATAGAGAAATAATGTAGAAAAAAATAGATTCAAATGAATAATATATAAGAATTATCTATTCTGTGTAAACGGAGACTGATCCTATTTATTTAACACAAATAATCAAAAATTTTGTATAAATCTCTGAAAGTTGTACTCTGATTTTGTAGTTTAGAAACTGTATACAAATAATTTTTTTTTTTTTTTAATGTTTTCCCTTTGAAAATGGTGTCAATATTAGAGGGTGAAAATAAACTCCAATAAATCCCACCAAACAGTATACAGTATCCTTTAATAATATCCCACTTATCCCTGTTGAAAAAATCCGCTACTTAGGACTCCACCTGGACAAACGACTCACATGGAATCCTCATACCAGACTGAAACGACCAGAAACAGCTAGACGTTGTCGACTACTTGAGCACTTACTAGACAAACTCTCTAAACTTTCAATTACTTACAAAAGACTCATATATATGACTATAATAAGGCATATTTGGACTTACTGAATCTAATAAGCCATCAAATTCCTCTACTATTCAATCCTTCCAATCCAAAATCCTCACTGCTCCTTACTTTGACACAAATAAAATCATCCATAACGACATTAATGTTTCCGAATTAGCTCAATCCAGAAATCTATCCTTCCATAATAAACCTCTGAACCATCCAAACCCTCTTGTTTCTAACCTATCTTCCTCTTCTATTCCTGATAACCTCCGAGGCGTCTAAAAAGAAGATGGCCTCGGGGCCTTCTAATATAGAATTTTAATTGGAATACTACCTACGTGTAGTTTCTCTTCATGTTGTACACGTCATGTTATCCATTTCACATTTACTTGTTGTATTTTTCAAGTAATACAGTTGTAAATATAAAAAAAAAAAAATAAAAAATGTTTCTCCTTCGGAATAAAGGAAACAGTATCTGTTATAATTTGTATTAACCTGTTTTCTTATTACTAAAGATAGATGAGTTTTTATAAAAATGACACTGGAAATAAAAAAAAATTGTATCCTCAGAATCGAAAATCCATCCAGCAAAGCACTTACATTGATCCGATTTTAATGAAGTTTTTGTATATTGTGCTAGGTGATTCTTTTTTTTTATTAAAACACTTTATTCAGAAATATTACAATTTGTCACAGTTAAGGACACTTATAATAGAGTTCAGAGATTGCATTCATACCGTATATACAAAAATATAAATAAATAAAGTAATAACAAAAGAATAAGAAGAAAGAACAAAAGAGTAAAGAAAAAAAAATATATATATACACATAAGTAAATAAAAATAGAAATAAAAGTAAAACAAACACCTTATATAAAACATACATTATTTACAATTTGCCAGGTGATCTCCGAACCAATCCTGTCCCCTCCACATGTGGAGGGAAAAGGGAGGCTTAGGAGATCCCTACGCTTCTCCCTCAGCCACTTCACTGGTATTTTAAACCAGCGGAGGATGAGTAAGAGCGCTACAGCCACAGACACTCATGACTTGAGTGGAGAATCTGGCCATTGCTAGAACTCCAAAATATCCATATTTACAAAAGGTCTCGTGGCCACTGCCGCTTTGACTGGAAGGACTTAATTTTTTTAATGTTGGAAGTTTAACAGCCCCTCAGTTATATGTCGTAAGTCCAAATTGGTTTAAGTAAATCTCTATAAAAGGCTAGTTTGTTATTTAAAGATAATTTTGAACGTCTGTCAAGTAACCTGGATAAGACCGTATCGTATATTTAATTCTTACTGTTTTTGTCTAATGTGAATCCTCCAAGTAAGTCTTTTGTCAAGGTAAAAGCCTAAATATCTGATTACATCTGATGTTGAAATTTTAATGTTATTAAAATATATGCAATGGGAAGGTGTGTAGTTAAGAGTGAATACTACATACACGATTTTTTTCTTCATTCATTTTAATATTTCACCTTGTCAATCAGCAAAATCGTTCAGGTGATTTTTAACAGTGGTAGATGCCCGAACAGAGTTTTTATCTGAGCTGAGAATTGCGGTATCGTCTGCAAAAGTAGCCAGTAGAGAGTCATTGTGTCCCGGTAGGTCAGACATATATATACTTAACAATATTGGTCCAGGGATACTGCCCTGAGGTACTCCTGCTTTTATAGGTTTAATGAAAACCATAGGCTATTGTTTAAATTTAAATTGAATGTTTGTGTACTGTCGTAATTAACGTTATTACTATTAGAGATGAAAGTTGTGCTATTATTAACGAAAAGAATCTGATGTTTTTAGTATTTTATTTCTTAAAATAGGTATCTATTATTTTCAAAAATACTTATGTTATTGATTTTTATCTGCCACAAAGAGATGTATATAAATTTTTTTATTGTTTGTAAAAATTTAATTTACATTCAAAAGTTATCAGTTACACTTATTAATCTGATGTATATGTATTTTAGAAAAATAAAAATATTTTATTTTATACGATCTCATTGAAATGCATATACCTAAGTTAAATGTAGGGATAATAGACACTTTAAGAGAACTTCTCAACATGGTTGTGAAAATAATTGTGGTTTAGTTGTAATGGTGGATTTTCGCAAATAGGTTTAATTGGCAGCAAATTTAGTCTTTTAAGTGGTAATTCCGTTTTTAATACTTAGTCAATGAATGAATGAATGAAAAATGCTTTATTAAATTTGCATAAATTATAAAATATACGGAACATTTATAAGGCATGAATATTCGTCTGCCAGAATTTTTATATTTTACAGGTACAGTAATAAAGACTTTATAACAATTAAAAATATATGAATGACTGATAAATAATAAAACAACTAATACAATATAAAATAATAAATATTTGAATAATTTACGTCTAAGAAATAATAATAAAGGAAAATAATGGAAATCATAAACAATAGCATGAATAAAACTGACCACATACAAATTAGAGGGATCATTGTTTATGCAGGATGTAGCAAATTAAAACGGTGTATCCACGCATGTCGAGCAAAACCGACAATTTTACGACATTCGTTCACAGAGGAAGCACTTAGAAGGGAAATTATGAGATCATTTCCAAAATATTCGATCAAGCATTTTGAACACTCAATCAAAAAATGGAATAGGTTCTCCTTTACTGGTAGTTTGCAGGGTGGACAGTCAGTATATTCCCTGTCAAGCCATGGGATGTATTTCAAAACAAGGAGTTTACACTTGAGCTTGAACAACTAACTTAACTCGCGCCCTGTCAAATTCCAACAGCAGGCATCAACGAATTTCAAATTTTAAGATCATGACTCTCAATTGTGAGTACAAAGTGTATTACCTGTTATTGAGATGAAAATTCTCAATTACTGGTTCATTTACCATGATTGTTTTGTTTTTTTGTGGCCGGCAATTTTTAGAGCTGTCCTATTTTTTAAAATTCATTATATTCAAGTATTTCTAAGGAGGCAAGGCATATTAAGCCGACTTGGATAGTATATAATTGTTATTGATTAATCCCATGTAAACAGTTTACCTCAAAACAATGCATTTCATTAATATTTATTAAACTCTTTTCCTTTGTGTAAATCCATTCATTCATAAACCATCTACTGCTTCAGATGTCATAATTCCAGTAGTAATAACCATTATAATTTTGTTATTACTAAAGAAATTGCTAACAATTTTTACTCTGTATTGATTGGATGAATTTGATATTATTTTTACACTACGACTACAAATCAAAAAAATAAATGGCTAACAATAATATTATAATTATGAGAGATAGGCTCGATGTGGACCTGCTGGGAAATATTGCTACTCAAAATATATTGCACTACCTCAATGAAGAAGAGAGGAAATGCAGTGAAAAGAAAAGAGAAAAAGGTAAATATGTTTTTAAAATGTTTACTACAATTTACATATAGCTGAACCGGTGTATCTATTGTATTTGAAGATTTATAAAAAAAATGTATGCAAATTATTATTATTATAAGTGTTTTGTTCAAATTGAAAACGATTAAAGTTAAATTTGTATAGTTTGAAGGAAATGTTTATGGTTTAAAATTTTAAGGAAACAGATTAGCACAAACTACTTTGTGGTGTGTTTTATTAGCTTTGATTTGAGACCTAATAGAGATCTTTATGCTACATACTTAAAGAGAAATGTTTTTTTTTTTTCAGAAATGTTTTTTTAAAATATTTTTTAAATACACGAGAAATGGGTATTTTTTGTTTTTGCAAATATTATAGGATAATTATTATACAACTTGTTGACATATGGACTAACCATGTGACGATACTTGGCCATCAGTCCACAATTCGCACATTTCATTCGACTATACTTCAGTCACACTCAGTTAAGGACAATATTGCAGGAACAATAGAACAAAAACAAACTGCAACTGGTATATTTTTTTATGTCGGTCAAGTGGTTTGTCAAAGTCTGGCACCGGAGTCTTCTCTTTAAACTCAAGACCATACTGCCCTACAAGTACTATCTCATCATTTAATCCTTCTTCTTTAAAATATGACTATAAATGAATCCCCGAAAAGATCCAGTTACAAAAACTTTAAACATTACAATACAAATTATTACAATTTTTAATATTGTATAAGCACTCTGGTACGTGTCTTGCAAAACTCAACCTACTGACCTCCGCCTGCTCACAGCACTTAATGACTGCCAAGTTTAAACGGATGTGGCAATAGTTTATTAACAGACATGACTTCTACATCTGACATAACCCTGAATACGAAGAGGTGACTAAAAAGGCGTTGGATGGAAGATCTCCTTCTTTGTACAACCAAAGTAACTGAACCATGTCAGGGAAGAGGGACTGTAGGTCACTGTCATTCCCGATGCCTGGGACTTAGTTTACAGACACAAAATACTTTTTTTTTTGCTCATTTCTCCAGAACCTGGTTTTAGTGACGCAACAGTTGTCCCTAGTGTTGGTGGTGACAATTTAAATTCTAAATTTAAACTAAAAGATCCATCGAGAAAGTCTTCGATGTGAACATTAAAATCAGGAACAAGTGTATATTAGAATGTGTATTATATTCTTTTAATAGATGTTAATAAGCCACACATTCGTATATATAAAAAAAAAAATATTTTTCCTTATAAGCTTCTTCGAAGTCTACAATACAGTTGGAATTGCAAGCACCACTTATGTTTGCTCAATTTCTTTCTCTACTGCCAATTTATGGCGTCTCCAACCCCGATTACAGAAAACTCAGGTGAGTTATTTTTATATAAAATAAATGTATTTATTTGCTTAAATATTATTATTAATATGTAGTATTATTTATGTTTTATAAATCGGTTTCGTCATGATTACGGTGTGATATTTCAGATTTGAATGGAGAAGTTGGAAAGGATTTTACTCAATGGGAGTAATAGCACTTAACATTATATTTTACACTTTAGCAATGAATCGATACGTAAGAGATGGAGTATTTGCCTTTAAATCACTCGGTAACCCATCATTTACTCGTCATATCCTAATACCATTAAATTTACATTATATAGAAATATAATTAATTATTTTAAAGATAGATCGTCTTCCAGGAGACATTATGTTTTTCGGTAGCTCACTCCTTATTTCGATATCGTTCTTGATATTGGTGAGGCAGTGGAAAGACTTTATAGGTAAATGGGCTGCCCTCCAGAGCGAAATGAACGATTTCGAATCATCAAACGTACAGAAAAAAATAAACCTTCTAACATATTGCCTGATATTTTCGTCTATCTGTGAGTATATGTTATTTTTTTTAATAAACCCTAAATTACTATAACCAATTCTATTTTGTAGACTAATATAGTTAATTTTGACATATTATTTAACCATAACACCACTCCCTTTCCCGCCATCAAAAAAAAAAAAAAAAAAAAAAGAAGCTACATGGAAGAAAAAAAACATACATGGAATTTAATTTAAAAAAACACACAAAAAACAACAACAGATTTCACACAACGTACCATAGACAGTCATTACTTCGAAATCATCAATTTTCCATCAAATTATTATATCACATGATCATATTTCTAGCTATTTAATAAAATTGTTTTTGAGTTTATAATCCATGAAGTATTTGTATTAACTAGCATCGACAGAAATACAATTTTACTTAATTTTTGTGACTTATTTATAGAAATGAACATAAGACATTTAAAAAAAAATTAAATTGAATATGAAAACATGCATTTATAAAAATTCAAACTGTTATTAATTCAAAACAAATTTAATAATCCATAAAAGTCAACAAATCTACTTCATAATTTTAAATACGTTCACCGTTGGCACGAATATTGCATTTGCAATTGTCTGCTTCAATGACTTCACCGGCCATATCACCAAAAATTAAGGCGTGCTGCTATAACATGCCGAAAATATGGCCGAAAAATAATTGAATAGAATTAAAAAAAAGTTTAATTGAATGAAAAACATCCAACTTTAAATTTGTCAAATGTAGCATTATTATTTTCTTTTTATTATTATGACTGCATCATCTTGAAAATGGTATGATATTCGAATTGCTGACTAAAGGTTGACCCCTGAAGATGGATATGCACTCAATGCCACCAATAGTACAGTATCTCCTCGAAAAGAACTGGATGGGACAAGGAATACACGATTTATTCGTCGATCGTCTTGCTCAGATAATCCTTCTGCGGAAGATAAAAATGAATTTTATGACCAGGCACCTCAAATGGGATACTAACGATAAAATATATGTCGGGAAGGAAATAACCCTCGGCGACCGACATCTTGACTGGCTGGCGAGGCAGATGGAGGCCATCGGCAAGATTAAGTATGTCTGGTTTGCCCGAGAATGTGTTCGATGTCGCCGTGATGATTAGTGTTGCCCAAATGCAAAACCAAGACTCGTCTTATCTTGGTCTTGTTCTTGCGCTTGTAAGAGTCTTGTTGTTAGTTACCTGTTAGCTTATTGGTATTTAGTAAAAATTTTACTTTAGATCTTAGAAATTCTACTACAGGAAAACTAAAGAATAGGTACATTGACATAAATCTAGTAAAATAATAAAGTTAACTTGACAATACATTAAAGGCATTATCAAGAAGAAAAGTGATAGACATCACCTTGGAATGGAAGATTCGTATAGTTAAGACAATTTATATAATGTTATCAATTATTTAAATAAAAATTCTGGTGATTCCACTCACATCACTTTCCCACCTATTTAATTTTTTTTTTTAATGTTTAATATGATATGTCTTGCATAGTGCAAGACCAAGGCGGATTTCGGGCAACACTAGTGAAGGCGGAATGACAGTAATAATAATTAACAAGGCTAAAGTCATTGAAGCTTTCCAAAACTGTGGATATTAGATTTTGAACTTCCTCTTTTCTTCTGTTTTTTATTTTAATTAATTTTAAGTACACCTTTTCTTTACTATTGCTTCCTCACTACCGAAGGTAGGGAAGCATTGTGTTCGTGCGAGAAATTAAAAAAATTTTTTTGCTCAGAATCGAAAATTTTCACTCGTGTTTTACGTTTCAGACATCAAGGATCAAATTTGGTTCGGTGTCTGTCTGTCTGTCTGTCTGTCTGTCAGTCTGTCTGTCTGTCTGTCTGTAGTCAAATCGATGTGACGGGCATATCACCTAGTACCGTTCATCCAATCTTCATGAAATTTTCAGGGATTATGCTGATCGGTGCCTAGATGGTCCCATATCAATTTTATCAAATTCCACCCAGCACTTCCGCTTACGCACGCGCAAACGTATATTTTTAGATATGCCAATATTTCAGAAAGGGCTCGTTCGATTTGGCTCAAAGTTAGATAAAAGGTAGACTTTGGTGAAAAAATAATGTAGTGTCAATTTCATTGAATTGCGTCCAACACTTTCTCTTATATGTGCACTACTAGTCCGCCGTCCGCCGTCCGCGCATTTTTTCTGAAACTACTAGACCGATTTTTTTCGAATTTGGATATAAAATCAGAGGTCACCCGAGGATCATCCTCCTTCAACGACATTACTATTCGCCTTCTAGTTTCAAAATGGCGGCCGAAAAACCTGCTTTGCTATAGACTGTAGCGCCTAAACGAATGAACCGATTTTGATGAAACTTCGCTAAAGTCATTTTCTCTACGCCCTCTAAATTTATCTATACTACATACTTCAACGAAAAGAAGCTCAAAAAAATTTACGAGGGATGGTAAAATTAAATTCCGAATAACTCAAGAAGTATACACATTTATGTCGATATTGCGATAAGATGTTTCAAAGGTATTAAAATTTCCTAAAAAATGAAGAAAGTTTCAGCGAAATCGAAGCACTAATAGTAGAGATATCGCGATTTTAAAATATTTTGCTTCCTCACTACCGAAGGTAGGGAAGCATTGTGTTCGTGCGAGAAATTAAAAAAAATTTTTTACTCAGAATCGAAAATTTTCACTCGCGTTTTACGTTTCAGACATCAAGGATCAAATTTGGTTCGGTGTCTGTCTGTCTGTCTGTCTGTCTGTCTGTCTGTCAGTCTGTCTGTCTGTCTGTAGTCAAATCGATGTGACGGGCATATCACCTAGTACCGTTCATCCAATCTTCATGAAATTTTCAGGGATTATGCTGATCGGTGCCTAGATGGTCCCATATCAATTTTATCAAATTCCACCCAGCACTTCCGCTTACGCACGCGCAAACGTATATTTTTAGATATGCCAATATTTCAGAAAGGGCTCGTTCGATTTGGCTCAAAGTTAGATAAAAGGTAGACTTTGGTGAAAAAATAATGTAGTGTCAATTTCATTGAATTGCGTCCAACACTTTCTCTTATATGTGCACTACTAGTCCGCCGTCCGCCGTCCGCGCATTTTTTCTGAAACTACTAGACCGATTTTTTTCGAATTTGGATATAAAATCAGAGGTCACCCGAGGATCATCCTCCTTCAACGACATTACTATTCGCCTTCTAGTTTCAAAATGGCGGCCGAAAAACCTGCGTTGCTATAGACTGTAGCGCCTAAACGAATGAACCGATTTTGATGAAACTTCGCTAAAGTCATTTTCTCTACGCCCTCTAAATTTATCTATACTACATACTTCAACGAAAAGAAGCTCAAAAAAAGTTACGAGGGATGGTAAAATTAAATTCCGAATAACTCAAGAAGTATACACATTTATGTCAATATTGTATATATGGTTTTTTTAGAAGTGTACGGAATTTCTTAAAAAACAAAAAAAAAAAATCGTCAAAATCGGACAATTAGGAGCAAAGATATCGTCTCTAGTTTTTTTTAGATGTGCTATTGCAAAAGGTTTATCTTTTTTTTGATTTCTGAATGTGTTACTGAAGTAATGCTATTTTTTTTTCATATTACTAATGATTAAAAAAGATTTTAGTCCAATAATTAGAATCACCTTTTATTTATTTTTCTTTATAACTAGGAATTTAATGTTACTTTATATGTATAATTGTTTGGAAATAATATACCAAAGAGAAATAATTTGCAGTGGTTTTTTCAAATTAATTATCGTTATATATATATATATATATATATATATATATATATATATTTAAATCTTTCGTGCTGAAGCCCCTCCTCCAAAATTAAATCTTGATTCGGTAATGTATAGCTATTGTATTGCTATTCGGTAATGTATACTATTATTAGAGCATAAGTTCGTATGTAATAATTTTCAACTTTAATTCTATGTGTATTAAAGGTGATATTTTGTAGTCTGCAACTGATATAAGTAGTCTGCTACTATGGAAAATAGCAGATGAAAATAAAATATGAAATTATTCTAATAAAGCATAAAGAAATATTGAGTTTTTATGCACTCTTGTAAAACAATAAATACATTTATACATAAGACCTTTTGAACTAACAGTATTGAAATTCATGTTCAGTATGCATTTTTTTTTATTTATTTATTTTTTTATTAAGCATAATCAAGTATGGAATCTTCAAATACGACCCTCTGTTGTTGAATGTTGAAGGGTAACTGTAATCGGCTATTCCGATTCTGCTTCTCTCAGAGATTTTATTCTCATTCGAAAAATTGTATACCTTGATATTAAAAGTAATACTTTTCTTCCTTTTATTCTCATGTTATTATTCTCTGAATGTATCGTTATCTCAAATTATGTCTAATAAATAGTAGTTCTTATTCAAAACTCTCCCGTCTATACTGCAAATATTTCATTCTCCTTCCTATTTCCGTGGGGCAACAACTTAGGGTGGGTCTTGGCTTCGTCATATGAAAATATTCAGGTCAATTACTATTTAATCTACCTGCATTATTTTTTGAGGTTTCATAATCAGTTTGTTTAAGGGGTTGTAGGTTATCAGCCCACTACCACCGAATCAGATGGAGATGTTGTCTCCTGAGACTTAATCTTTCATCGGGTCGGTTTCCTTTGAGAGGTGACCCTAAGGTGTGTAGCTTGAGTTACTTTGTGTCAATATAGTGAATTTTGTACTGCTCTCTGTGTGTGTTTTAGTGCAGTGCAATGAACTTGGAAAACCGGAGGATCGTTAATCCCCACTAACTGTACACTACAACTAGCCCCTATGAGACCTTCATTCTCCTTACATGACTAATATCCTATTTACCTGTAATGTCAACTCCCAATACATCTCGCCACATTCTGATGAATTCATTGATTATTTCCTCCATAGCTTTTATCTTATTATTTCTGTCTCCGAAACTTGGTTCAAACAAAATATTCCCACTTTCTCTACATTCAATCCCAATTTAACATCATTCGCCAGGATTGGATGGATCAAACTGATGTTGGTGTCATAATAATTATTATTTTGAACAAACATGATTCCTTAGTAGAAAGGATGTTTCTTCAAAATAATTTTTAGTATAAGGAGTGTTCCTCAGGGGTCCTCTCTTTCACCAATTTCACTGTCTATATTAAGAATCATTCCCTATTCACGACTTCACATATACAATGATGACTTTCAAATACTAATCTAAGTACAAGAAGATAGTATCAATGATTGGTCAATTAACGATGGTTCCAATCTGAATGTTGAAAATAACAAGGGCAGACATCCTTATCGGTTCCACATACCTCTTAAATTCCCTTTCTTATCATCCCTGACTTTACTAAGGGTTCCTTCAACCTCCAAAGATGGACTGATCCTGCTCAGTATGTTCAACAGACTACGAAATATTCTTATATATATATTGGTTTACCCCTTGTACTTCTCTCTCCATAAAAACTTTCATTAGTAGACATCCTCAAACAATGCTTAAAAGATAAAAAACTTTCATAAACGACTTCAAAATTTACTACAAATATTTTAATTTATTTATTTTCTTTGTCCTAGTTGAGCATATACTTTCCAACACTCAGTTCTTACTGACTGCCGAAGCAAACGCAGATCGGCTAAGAAAGTTTTTGGACGACGGGAACCTCACTACTGTTGTAGGCTACAGTTTATGGCTTGCGTTCTTTACATATGCAGTAGATTTTCTGTTTACTCTTATATGGAACTATACCGATATTTTTCTCACTGCTATTTCGTTATCGTTGGCGAACATGTTCAAACAATTCAATAAAGATCTCAGAATGACTGCTATCAATGTATCTAACGTAAGTGTGCTTACACTTTATGCTTTTCATACACCTTATATATTTTAATAAAATACAATGGATTCTCAGTAAAAGTGGCATAGTATTAATAATTCGCTCCTTTGTACATATTATGATTTTCAATGGAATTTTTTTACATTCTGTTAATATTAAATTATTAGAATTTTTAAATGGACGATAATGTTTTTACAATCGGTTCCAAACCTTATTTGGAGCCCATAGTCCGTGGTACGTACCCCGTTTTATCAAATTTTTAACATCCGCCAGAATCTTCGTAAATAACTTCATCTCCTCGTAACTTACAAATATTTTATTTACGAAAATCCTGGAGAGGAGCAAGCTTTGTCTATTTAATTAAGTACTAAAAACTCGTAAATACCCATTTGCTTTCCACCTAAATCGTAAAATAATTTGATCAGAAAATCGAGAAAAAAGGTGGCCTTCAAAAATATTGAGCCGTTTGGCGAGAAGTACACCTCCAAAGAGTCAAAATAACGAGGTTATATAGGACAAACAGCCCAATATTTTTGTAGCCCACCTTTTTTACCGATTTTGTGATCAAATTATCTTACGATCCAAGCAGAAAGGAAATGGGTATTTACGAGTTTTTAGTACCTAATTAAATAGGCAAAGTTTGCCCCACTCCAGATTAAAAACTCCCCAATTCCAAGAGTTTTCGTAAATAAAATAGTTGTAGGTTACGATGAGATGAAACTATTTACGAAGTCTCCGGCGGATGTTAATAATTCGATAAAAAGGGTTCTGTACCACGGACTATCAACTTTGATTTGACTGTCGCCCAGTAATATTGTAAGATAGTGGCATCATACAAATTAGTGCCTTTATGAAGGACTGATTTTTTAATTTATTTATTGAATTTCTATATAAACTGTCTTTTTTTGCATTCATAAAAATAATTAATTTATTTTCTTCCATCTGATATTGATAAAATAAATGTATAATTAAGCGGAGAGCTAGGAAGACAAACCCCGAACTCCCTTCTTTCCCCAATGCACACACAAAAAAATCTATGTGTTAAAGTTCGTAATTTTTGATCTTAATTTATATTTGAAAATAATAATATATAGCAACATTGTAAGTTGTCAAAGCGTTATAGCTTATAGAGATTTTTGAAGTTTCTTTTGTAAATTTCCATTATTCAACGAATGAATGTGATTTAATTTTATTAGATTTGTATTTAAATTAATTTTCATTTAAAAAAGTAAACAACCTTATTCTTATCCATAGGTCTTACTTTTCCTTGCAAAAATGTTCAAACTACATCCAGAAAATACTAAACAGATCATAATTAAGTTAATATTTTTCAATTCTTAACAATACAAATTTTTAGCTGAAAAAGTTCTACAAATCGAAAGGAAACCCTCCCTCCTCCATTTTTAACACACACAAAAAAAAATTGTATATTTATAAAAATTACCTTTAAATATACTGCCATTTTTTATTGCTAGTTTTGAAATAATTATGTTGATTATTCACACATTATTATAAGATTTTATTTTCCGAAAGCTATTTATCTACAGAAATACAATATGATATCATAAAAACAGATTATATTTTTATAGGAATGTACATTTCTATTTGGTTGGGTTTCTATCTGAGGTCTTTGCTTGTTGTCGATTAGAACTGGAGGACTTAGTTGATAAGTATGCCATGGGTAAATCATGTATGGAAACAAATATGAATGTGACCCTTATTTGTCGTAATGGTTTCATTTTTTAAATAATATTATGATACGTCAATGAATTTGTGTTTTCTAGGAGAATACAGTTTCTTATTGGAGAAAGAAAAGAGAACTATACAATAAGCTCTCTTTGTTTGCAAAGACAGTCGATGATAAAATATCTCATTTGGTACTCATTTCGTTCGCTGTCAATCTATACTTCATTTGTATTCAACTCCTCCACAGTATACAGTGAGCATATATTTTTGGAGTTTTTATTATTTATATTTTCGACTTATATACCTTTATTATATATTGATTGTAACGTAAATAATGCTCGAAACCAAAGAAAGTAATTCTAGACCTCAAATGCAAAAATGCTAAAAAAAAAAAAAAGTTTATATGATCTATCATACAATCTCTTACAGGAATAAAGTAAACTTAAATTATGTGTTTAAAACAATTTCAAGCGGATAAATTAACTATTCTATGTTTCGGATTATTAGTTATTTTATTTCTATTTTCCTCCTCATTACCGAAGGTAGAAAACTGTGTTTTTGAACAGGACTTTAAGAAAAAAATATCCCTAGAATAGAAAATTAATTGAGATTAATGAACCATGATTGCTGAGAATATATGATAGCTGTGAGATGTGGTAAACAGTGAAAAAATAATTTAAACTGCTTTATGTTGTCTAATCGGTGTGACGCATTTAACACGTAATATTTTTTGTGGATTTTTCCTAGACAATACTAAACTTTGAAAACGGCTCTACCTGTATGATTTATTCCCAAACGACAATAACAATAATAATAAAACCATAATTTCGATGATCGCATTATTACTATTGATTTCTTAGTTAAAAAAATAAATAAATACATCTAAAACAAACAATGTAACAGTGCCTAAAAGGTTATTTTAATATTTTAGACCTTTGACATCCTTGCTTCGAGTAGCCTATTTCTGCGGTTCGTTCGGGCATATCCTCTTCAGGACATGTTCGGTATGTTTCGCTGCCACCAGTATCTACGAGCACAGCAAAGGATCACTTTCGGTACTGTATTCTGTTCCACCCGAGCAGTTCAACAGTGAGGTAAGTAGTTGAAATTATTTGACAAAATCAATACTTTATATTATTAAATTCACAAGTAGAAGCTGCTGTTCTAATAATGTCCTGATTTTCATTAATACAATCTGACCTAATCCATCTTCTGGTCTTACTAATCATAAAGGGGAAGTCAGACAAAAAAAAAAAAAAAAAAATCTGATCACTTACCACTCTACTTAAACATTTCAATGTCTGAATAAAATATGTAGACTCCATCAGTCTATATAAACTACTTAACGCCAGTCCCAGTATACATTTTTTTTTTTTTTATAAATTTCTTTATTGAGTATTATAACAATCTGTCTGTTGGACATTGGTTATAGTGAGGTAGGATGACATTCACACCATATGTACAAAAAAATAAAATAAATAGAACAAAATAATAATCAAAAGTATATACAATAGACAATAAAATAAAATAACCTAAAAAATAAGAAAATTAAAACTAAGGAAAAAAAAAAAAATAACATGCATACCTATATACAATCAGGGAGGGAACTCCAGGAGAACCCTGCGCTACTCTTCCAACCGCGTCACTGGTACTAAAGCCAGCGGAGATTGGTCGAGAGCACTTTAGCCACATACACACATGTCTTGAGTGAAGAATCTGGCCATTGCCAGAACTCCAATTTATATAATCTACAAAAGGTCGCGAGGCCACTGCCGTTTCAACCTTCTTGGAGGATTATAGGGATGGGAGATGCTTGATAGTGATTGTGCAAGAGGATTTGGGTGGTAAGTAAGGTTCTGGTGAAATTTGGAGAATTTTTCTGGGATAAGGTCTAGGACAAATGGGATGTTAAGGTCATGATGTAGGGTTTTGTTGGATACATAGAAAGGAGCATCGACTATTGTTCGAAGGACTTTAGACTGGAAGGATTGGATGCGCTTGATGTTAGAAAATTTTGCTGATCCCCACAGTTCTAGTCCGTAAGTCCAAATAGGTTTCAGTATTGTCTTGTAGATCAGTAGCTTGTTTTCAATGGAAAGTTTAGATTTTCTGCTTAGTAGTCGGTATAGTTGGCCGTATCGTCGGTTGAGTTCTTGTCTTTTGAGTCTAGTATGCGGGTTCCAAGTTAGTCTTCGGTCTAAATGAAAGCCAAGATACCGGACTGTGTCTGAATAAGGAAGCTGGATGGAATTAAAGAGTACTGGTGGACAGGAATTGCGTCGGAGTGTGAAGGTAATATGTTGGCATTTAGTTTCATTAACTTTAATGCGCCAGTTATTACACCAGTGCTCAATCAAGGTGAGGTGACTTTGGAGATTTAAGGATGCTATTTCGGGATCAGAGTTGGATGATAAGATTGCGGTGTCGTCAGCGAATGTTGCAAGAAAAGTATCGGGATGAACAGGGATGTCAGCAGTAAAGAGGATGTAAAGCACGGGACCCAAGACGCTGCCTTGGGGAACACCGGCTTTAACGGAGTAGATATTGGAAAATTCTGTTCCACAGCGAACTCGAAAGGAGCGGTCAGAGAGGTAGGATCGGAGGACTAGGTACAAGGACTGAGGTAAATGGATTTTAAGCTTGGAGAGCAGTCCGGAGTGCCATACACGGTCAAATGCCTGTGCAATGTCCAGAAAGGCACCCGAACAGTATTCCTTGTTTTCTAGGGCTGAGGAAATATGATCAACAACTCGGAGTCCTTGTTGAACAGTAGAATGTTGAGAGCGAAAACCAAACTGATGGGAAGGGATATTTTGGGATTCTATAATGGGTAGGATTCGTTTCAAAAGGATCTTTTCAAAAATTTTTGAAAGGATTGGGAGTAGGCTGATTGGTCTATAGGATGTTGAGCTATTGAGAGGTTTTCCTGGTTTTGGGAAAAGGATAATAGTGGAGTGTTTCCATAACAGAGGGAAGTGGGTGGTGCGTAGGATACAATTGTAGATATATGTAAGGAATATGACTGCTTTGGATGGAAGTTGTCGAAGGATTTGAGGTGTAAGGAGATCATGTCCAGGAGCTTTACGGAGGATTAGTTTTTTTAATTGAAATTTTACTTCGGAAGGATGAATAGCTTTTGGGGGCAAGGAAAGTGGGATTGGTGATGTAAGGAGTTCTTCTACTGTTACGGTGTGGGCAGGATGGGATTCCGGATGTGAAATAAATGTATTGGATAGGTGAATGGCGAACTCCTCAGCTTTATCTTCGTCAGATGCTGCCCAGGAGCCATCACCTCGTCGGAGAGGATGGGAAATGCGGTGAGGATTTAGGATTTTTGTTGTGGTTTTCCAAAGGGAATTGTCGCGAGAAGAGAGGGAGGATAGGTAGGAGTTGAAGGATTGTGATCTGAAGGTGGCTAATTCCAGTTTTAATTGTTTGCAGTAGTAATTATAGGAGCAGCGGTCGGTAGGATGTCGGGTACGTTGCCATAATAATCTGGCACGGCGTTTGGTGCGGATTAGGTTAAGGAGGTGTTGGGGTAGAATGGTCTTTATAGGAATTCTGGAGGAGTCTTTTGGAAAGGAGGCAGTCCAGGCGGCTTGTTGGATTGTGGTAGTAAAGGAATTTACGGCACTATCAAGGTCATCGGGAGTTTTGAGGGATATGTTGAGATCAATATTATCGGAGATTATATGGCGGAAAAGGTCCCAGTTTACTGGGCCCCTAATGAATGACGGTGGAGAAGGTTTGGGAACAGGTTCAAGTGAAACATTAAGGATTAGAGGACTATGGTCAGAGGAAAGTTCATTTAGACGTGTAATGGAACAATTGAGGGGACTTAAGCCGCTGTGGATAAAGAAATCAAGAAGATCAGGATTACGGTTGGGATCTGTGGGCCAGTAGGTAGGAGAGTTGGGGGAAAGGAGGTGAAAACGTTGGGAATTGAGTGCAGACAGCAGGGTTCGGCCACGAGAATTCGTGGTTCTGGAACCCCATTGTTGGTGCTTGGCATTTAGGTCTGTACCCAAGATGAAGTGATGTCCTAAGGAGTCGAGGAGAGAACTGAATTGGGCATTGGATATGGATCGGTTAGGAGGGCAATACGCCCAGTATACATAAAAAAACATTTTAATGTACATAGATATCGATAATTCGTGAATAATTAATAATTGCACTATGTTGTAAAAACTATAAAATCTAAATCTACATCACACTATACATTTTTTAAAATTTATTTTATTATCGAGTTTTCATTTCAGTATTTAGTAGAACCTCATATATAGGTGTAAGCGACGAATGAATCCTATTACAGGAATATGATACAGATATTGGTGGATTCAAGCGGGGGAGAAGAGATTTCGGGTTGAATTAAAATAACAAAATAAATATTATTTGCATTCTCATTCGAATAATATGTATTCAAAGGAATTTCCAAGTTTAGACAGTAATAATATGGAAGTGTATTTTTATTTTATATCTCCATTTTCCAAAAGCAATATAAGATATAAATATCAAATACGTTTAGCCATTAATTCTAATACATAGTTTTTGATTATTATTTTACTTTTGTTAATTATTTATTTTCTGTATATATGGTGTGAATGTGTTCATATATCACTATAATTATTGTCCACGTGACAGATTGTTATATTTCTAAATAAACAAATAAAAAAAATTCTAGTAATGGTAACTGATTAATACTTCCTAGGTCCAACGCCTCACTCACCAAGTGGAAAGCGAGACCCTGGCATTGACCGGTTGTAAATTTTTCACCGTGACTCGCTCCCTGATGCTAACAGTAATCTCTTACTCATTCGTCTATTTATTAATTTAATATTCACATTATGACAGTTGAGTAATGTAAGTTTTAACATTTATTTCAGATAGCAGGGACTATAGTCACTTACGAAGTGATTCTTGTCCAGATCAGTGGCAACTTGTCCGATGACAGTGGATCAAGTGCAAATTATACTTCACCTGGTTACTGAATCCAGCGAAAAGATTAGTGAAAATTTTTAACGGCATTAATAATATTATCTCTCTGATGCAAGATACCAATCATTTGTTGATTTAGAAAATAAAGGTTTATTATAGGAGAAAATATAGAAATAGAAAGAATAATATAAGAGTATTATCTATATTACTTTAGTATTTTGTCTAAATGCGAACTATACTTAATCCAAAGTATTGTATGAGCCTTAAAACTGTATATCGATTGAGACCCTTTAGGACAGTTTTTGTCCTAATAATAAAAGGGTGTTATTTTAAAAGCATATGACTCCCTTCACAATTGAACACTGAACTAGATTAGACGTATTCCACGTTTTTATCACTCGTGCCACAATCAAGGATTTCCCAGTGGCTATGGTGAGAGAGTGCGTTGAAGTAGTGGCCCGCTATAACATTCTCGAGTCGTTGATGCCATCATTTATGTTATATCTAAAACCAAATAAAAAATATGTTGAGGAGTTGGTCGGAGGGACTGGTCAGTCTATCAATTGCTACCTGCAGTGGCCTATACCAGGCCCTGATGAAGACCTACAAAGTGGGTCGAAACGTCGGCGTAACCATTAAAATACTATTGTAAAAATTTAGTATATATTTGACCGCACCTCCCCGACTAAAACTCCTTCTCATATTATATCAACTATCTCTACATCATTAAAAAAATCTGTTATTGTTATTTGCATGGAAGACGTTCAAAGCACATTTATTTTATCCAAAAAATATGTTATTCTCTTCTCACCAAATTTACTGTAATATAAAATGTCATTCAACCTGTTTTAAAATATTTTGGATATCTAAACATAAATGAAAAAATAAATATTCATATACTGAATCCTACGAACAGAAATCTTTATTTGTCTGTATGCTGTAGTTATTCTTAAGGGACTTTGTCGTACTATAAAGAATTTTCTATTATCTTAGAATCTGGAATAAAGCATGTTCTATATAAGGTTAATTTTGGTTTATTATTTTCAATAATGAACCATTGTGATCGACCAAAAAATTCAAAAACTTAACCCCCTCTCAAGATTTGAGGTTTCATTTTTCAGTATACGTAGAATTCGAAAAACGAATACAATTTTTTTTG